TTTCGTGAGTAAAAACCTCACTTCTTCGGATGCATCAAAGCTTACTCACGAAAGCTTATGCCCAAATAAATCTGTTAGTCTTTAAGGTGCCACCAGACTCCTTGTTGTTTTTGTAGATACAGACTAACACGGCTACCCCCTGATACTTTAGGAAAGGTAGTTTTCACTGTCAGAGCTCATTGAGTACTGCACATGCAACCTCCTCTGTATTTTAATGTATGGCTTTTATTTAGCATAGGATGTGGTATGCTTCTTACATCAGTGTAGTGTTAGTGTGTGTGCTTCTCTTCTGTAAAATAGTAACAATGTTCTAAACAAAAAAAGCAATGCATAAGATACCAGTATTTTCCAACTCTGCTTTGTAGTTCTCTGTGCTGAGAATTTTGGAGCCTAACCCTTCTTAGTATCTCAGATTACATCAAAGGACATTCATTACTATTCAGAGAATACATATTTGAGGCTAAGGTGGGATGAAGTGATTTATCATGTAAAGCGTAGAGGAAAAACGCTGCAATACTAGTGGCCTTGGCAAGTTTTGAAATCACACTAAGTGAAGGGGAAAAAATAACTGGAGCAAAATCCTGCAAACGGTTATGCCCTTGATCACAGTTACCCACACATGGAGTCCTATTGAAGTTAATGGGACTCTGCCTGGGAGTAACTACTCAAAGGAGTAACTTTGCAGGATTGGAGGTTATCTCCTAATTCTGTAAAGATTTATGTATGCGTTGTACTATATACATTATGGGCTTGACCTGAAGCCCCGTGAAGTACAAGTAGGAATCAGAAATATGTGGCTTTTTCAGGGACTATTAGAGTGTATTTTATTTAAAGGGTAATATAAAATACTTGAGCTTTAACAGAAAAACAATATTCAAATTGATAAAATTCACACAGCACACTTTATGCTTACTTATACCAATTCTATCTAACTGCATATCTTTAAAAAGTTGATCATTTTGCTCAATCCTATAGAGTTCAAAGGCAACTTGATTGCTTTATGTATAAAAGTTTTTGAAATTGTGTGAAGTGTGATTTCCTGTTTTATGGCTAATTTTGTGTTAGCACAGAAGGGTCTATTCTTTGCGTTGTGTATACGGCCCTGCTTTAGCAAGCTACTTACACAACAACCTAAAGTTAAGCATTATGAGTTGAGCCCCCCAGAACCCGCCCCCCCCCAACTCTACCCCCCACCTGCCTAAGGCTCTGGGAGGGAGTTTGGGGGCTGCAGGGTGTGTGGGGAGGGGGTGCAGGCTCTGGGAGGGAGTTTGGGAGTGAGGGGGTGTGTGGGAAGGGGGAAGGGCACAGTTGGGAAACCATTGAAAAACTTGCCGGGAACGGACAG